ATGTTTAGCTATCACAGTCACAGATATTATACTTAGTGTTTTTGGCTTGTGATCGCAAATGTAGCCAAACTTTGGAGCGCTTAGATTAGCGAGCAAGGTCCTGGCAGATCGCTAGGTCCGGTCCTCACAGATGAAGAAGAAAAAAAAAAAAAGGGCATAGGAATCAATAGGGGGAATCGAAATTTTTATTTGACAACAAGTATCCGATTCCTGACCTTAAGTATCCGATTCTGGTTCGATTCCCAACCCAAATATACACTAATGCAATTAAGCTTCGAAATATTCAGCCTGGTAACAGCCCATACAGGAAATACAGTCTGTTTCACATCCTAACCTGTATGCTAGTAGTGAGTTTCTGGAAAATCTCGTAGATCTGGTCCTTGAAACCACGACTCAGCATCTCATCCGCTTCATCCAGCACAAACATTTTAATGTACTTAGAAGCTGGAAGAGGGGTGAACACAAAAAGATAGAGTAAATGACATAACACAGAAATAACACGCAATAAAATAAATAAATAAATAAACAGGGTCTGCATTCACAAGATAAATTTAAGTGAAATTCTTCAAAAATTCTAATGAAGGTCTCAAATATTTTCTTAAAAATTTTTTTAGGAAAAAAATTATACAATTACACATTATAAAATGACGTAATGTAATTATCAAATTAAAGATGAGGCCCCTGTTTGAGTCATTTCTATACTTAAATACATTTTTCTTAGTAGTTACTGAATTCCAAACTCAGCAAAAAGTCAAGTCATGCATAATCATGACAGATCATCGTTCACATTAATAAAACACTAGGTATAAAAATATGAAGCATTACATTATTGATCTATATTTCAAACAACAGTTCAATTAAACATCCTAGCTTTTAAGACAAGTTGGAGGTTATAATAACTTTAAGAGGATTTTTAGGAACATTCTTTTCAGGAATTTTGAGCAGAAAAAAGAATAAAATGTTTAAGAAATATTTTTGGAAATACAAAATAATCTTAACTTTACTGTTAAGTTATAAAATAAATTATTCTTAGAACTTTTTTGTGAATCCAGCCCCAGCACTAGATCACTCACAATACTGAGTACTCACAAAGGAACTTTCGATTAAGCATGTCGTAGACGCGACCTGGGGTTCCAACTACAATATGCGGTGCCTCTGCCTGCAGCTTTTGGACCTCATTGCGCACATTGGTCCCACCGATGCAGGCATGGCACGTCGCACCCATATAGTCTCCAAGAGCCAGAATCACTTTCTGGATCTGTATGGACAAAGAAAATCAAGAGTAATGTAACCTTTAAAACATTTATATGACAAAAAGCACGAAAGTCTATACTTGCATTGATGGCAAGTGTGCCTCTATCCACAGCCTATTGCATGTAAGTGCTGCTTATCGCAGTTTTTTTTTTTTATTACTTTACACAATACTACATACTAGCTTTACATTTCCAAGTAAGCACTTCCATTTTTATAATAATGTATTTACTCACAAACACAACTGAAATCTCTCCCATACCCAAAACATAGTCATACAGTCCTACCCAAAAGCAGTGAGCACAGAGAGAGCACTAACCTGCTGAGCCAATTCACGGGTGGGTGCCAGAACCAAGGCCTGAGAACCTTTTAGCTCTATGTCAATCTGCTGCAGGATAGAGATGGCAAAGGTGGCAGTCTTGCCCGTGCCCGACTGAGCCTGTGCAATGACATCATATCCTAGTGTGGGGAAAAACAAAAGGCCAGATAATGAGCTCTAACTGATAGAAACAGGGTGGTCTTCTTCAAGCATGCAAAGATGGGCAATGGCAGCCTAAAGGGGGGTCTCACAACGGACAAAAAGCACATAGCCCTGTTGAGCCAGTCTTTAAATCTATTTTCTAGAAGTGTATGTACTCCAGTGGTGCCACGCATTGCCTGTCCGCGGCACCCAGCTATGACTCTAGAGGCAGTTCAAAATCCCATAGCTTTCCATTAAATTACACATTATATTTCTTCCGAATCATTGTTAATGCACATAATAACATTGTCATTTGTGTTTCTGTAGCTTGAAAGGCTATATGCTTCATATAGAGAGCTGTAATACAGATCACACTTTCTCTTTCTGTCTTTTTTCCCCTAACACTGAACTTCAAACTCATCAACGCAACTTTGTTCATTTTTGAAGTGAACTTTTGCTTGTTTGGTGAACAGATGAACTGTTTTGGACTGTCATCTTCAACTGAATGTGACGTGTCCAGTGTGCAATACTTGTGAGTTGTATTATGTGCCCAAAAGCTCATTCATAGAAGGTGAACACAAGGGTGTAACTTTGGTTTGAGAAGTGGGGGGGACACAAAATGGGGGAAAATGTTTTCGATTTGAATCCCATTTCCTGCATGTACATACATTTAGGGACTATGGTGATACAAAATCCAGGAAATAATTAAGTTGATTAATGATCAATTCTGCCAAAAAGAATAGTAGGCTTTTTTTATCTTTATAAATAGAATATTAATGTTTAAAAAAAAAAGTTCAATAGATTAATATGCAATGATGATAAAAAAAAGTGAAAAGTGATTCTTTTAAATACTAAAAGCGCCAGTAGGTGGCGGTAAGTCACTGTCTTAATGCGTGAGTCATCGAGTCATTTGTTAATTCAGTAACTAAGCAAGTGGCTGTATTTATAAATGAATCATTGAATCAATGACTTTCGCGAACAATTCGTTCACGAAACACCGCAAAACTCAGCATTTTGTTTGCGTACCCCCTCTGTCGCCTCACGTACCCACGTTTGGGAACCACTGTTCTACATTAAATATTTAGCTAACAACAGTCTGTTACCTAGCAACAGTGTATGTTAACGTTAGCTCAGTCAACGTAGGCTAACATTAACAGGTGTAACGTTAGACAGAAAATATGATTATCCTGACCTGAGCTAATTTACTGAATCAACCAACTCACATCTCCTTTCTTTCTTTCTTTTCATCCATGATGACATTAAAGTCATCTGTTGCTGCTTCTGGCGTTTCATCGCTGACTGTGCCACAACCGTGATACCCAAACATTCATTGAGCTATTTTTAGAGTGCACAAGACGTTCCTGGACGCGGACGCGCGTGTCTGTGTCCTGCTCCTCCGTGTCCGTGACGATGACGGCTTGCGGTTAAAAAAATCATAACAAACGAATTTGAAAGTGGGGGGACCTGCTCATTAGCACTTTCAGTGAGCTATTTTTAGAGTGTGCACGCGACGTTCCTGGACTCGGATGCACACGTCTGTGCCCTGCTCAGTCCTGCTCCTCCGTGGCGATGACGGCGTGCGGTTAAAAAATCATAACAAACGGATTTGAAAGTGGGGGGGACACAAACGTGATTTTGAAAAGTGGGGGGGACATGTCCCCCCTGTCCCCAGTGGAAATTACGCCCCTGGGTGAACATATAATAGAACATCCGATAAATATGGAATGCTTCAGTAAATAGTTTTAATCACAATCTTATTATATATATACTTAAAGGTATCTTACCCTTGATACAAGGGAGAATAGCCCTTTGCTGGATGGCAGAGGGCTTCTCAAAACCATAAGCATAGATTCCCCTGAGAAGAGTCTCACGCAGGTTCATGTCATCAAAGCTGTCCACGATCTCATGCCAGTTACTCTGCAATTACAGGGAAAAGAGTAATTAGATGATGATTAAGATACAGAAGACCACGGACAAGCTAATCTTTACTCCATCTCGCTCTGAAAAGAAAGGATTTGCTATTTGTCACTCAATGCATAATGCATAAAGGATAACAGGTTGGCAGTTTTTCAAAAAAAAAAAAAAAAAAAAGGGGGAATCGCTGACCCCTACAGTGAGGAAAAGACAGTGAAAACAACTGACAGCACATTCAGTGCCAACCCGCTTCTCACAGCTGTGCCAGGAGAGACATGCAGGGAAAATATATATACAGTGTTTATGTAAAATAGTTAATTGTGAAAAATTGTTATGAACTCACTTCAATGACTCCATCTGGCTCCATGCCCTCGGGGCCATTGTCTCTAGGTCTGCAAAAGAATTAGCACCATACACATTAGCACCATACAGTTATTCATGACAGACAGATAGATATTGTATTGATATATCAATGGAAACTATGCTGCAATAGCAGCAAATCAGCACTGTAAGGTAAACAGGGCAGTGTAACATATTTCAGGAATAAGAACATTATACACTAATATTCTTTGTGTGTTTATTTATATATAGACGTTATGCACTAATATTCTATAAAGATGTCATATATTATGACAGTATGTCAAATAAGAAAACAAAACAGATTTCATCTACCATTAAGGCAATATGACATTAAATTAGTAACTGTAAATCGGTTTCCATATACAGTTTTAAACAGAAAATGTATTTAATAGAGAAAATCAGAACAGTTTTAACTGTGTGCAAAAAGAATGAATGGAAGAAAAACAGGCTTTACTCGGGGCCACTAATGGGTTATGTGTCCAGCAGTCTAAATCAATTGGATTGAACACATTAAGTTCATATAACAACACATCGTTCGCGATCTGAACCATAATTTTGAGCCTCTTGAACGTTCACCGTCAATATCCTCAAGCAGGCCCGTCTGCTAAGCGCTCATATGCTAACGCCAGTGGGTTTTTACAACTCATTTGCGACATTCAAGATCAGCAACCACAAGCTACTTCCAACAGCATTTAGAAGCGGGATTACTATATCGACTGACAACATGTATGCATATGATTTCTAATTCATAAATAAATACGTTAAGATCGTTAAATTCCGTCTGCCCTACCTCCCTTCATATTCTGCCGACATTATCACGAAGGGCGAGCACACCGCGAAAATGTTTTATATAGTTTAACACGGGTTTCTTACTAAAATTGTGATTGCAGCATTCGACCATCAGTCAGAATATGGCCCGCCCTTCGCATATTCTCATTGGGTAGTACAGACGTCACTCAACAAATGGTACCCGCCTCTGTCACGTCAATCCTGCCATAGTTTACATGTAATTGGACTAAAGCTAAACCTCAAAATATCATTCGCTTGGCCTACAGTGGCGTAGATCAGCGTCCATAGATTTCCAGGTATGGTCATTGCGTATTCAGCACTGTGAATGTGAAGTTTGCTATTACACAGAAATACTTGGTTTTGTTTGTTGTTTCATAGGAACTTGAAATTCGCACACATAATCTCCATGATTCAGATTTTTCTTTTAGAGTTTTTTGTTTTGTTTTCAATCTTACCGAGCTTTAAATAATAGTATATGATTTGGCTCTTTCCTCTGTAATTATTTTAAACTATGTCTAATTTAAGCATAAATATATTTTAAGAAGTGTGTTATTGATGCGTGAACCATCGCCTTTTTCATCCTTTTTATTTTATCATACCTTGGCAGTTTTAATAGTACATTTTGTTTCGTTATTATTTTAATATGCATTTAAAAGGTACGGCTCGCGCTGTGGCGACTTCTATACTGTAAGAGTACACTCAACACACATACAACTGTTTGTGTTTTTGAATCCAAGCACAGAAATGTAGCAAGTCTAGCCTGTCCACCAAACTGTAGGCCTATTTTTATAGTTAGTTAGCTGCTGTATTTATAACCATTTTGAAGTCACCACATTACAAACTACTACACAAGAACAGTAACATTATGACCAATGCACAAATTGACTAGGCTCAGTTATTTTCGTAGTTTTTATTACTAGTACATCTTACAACAACGTATGCATCTCAAAAGATATAAAAGTTTAATTTACAGCTGCTCTTTTTTCATCTCCATAGTTTTGCATCTTAAATCGCACAGATACATAACAACAGACAAACAATATTGAACAAACAGAACTGCTCTTATAGTGTCGTGGTCCGCATTGACTCTCAGTAAATGAATATCGCATTACATTTTTAAAATGTCTGCAAGTCTCCTCCCTCACCAGTCGATGGTATTACCTTTAACGTACAAGATACTGACATCAAGATCATGAAAAATAAAAAATATAATTGCCAACAATACTGCGGCACCTAAAGAACAGTTCACTGAGGTCAGCTCCCCCTCACACTTCTAGAAAACAACTCCTCTGGCGTTTTGATCTGAACAAACAAACAACTGGGCCGAACAGAGTATGGCGTTCGCCAAGTCAAAATACAAACTGATTGAACGAAAAGAGGGTTAAAAACGTTTGCACGTTTCCCACCTAAATGCTGTCTGGACTTGGAGCTTATTTAGAAGTGTAAGATGTCACAGTCTCACAGAGACAGTTTACAGTCACACAGTTCTTTGTACATTTGTCTCCGTAGCTTGGGCATATCCTGCTGACCGAAGCTGAAAGGCTGTTCCAGGGCCAGGCACTTACAGTACTGGAGAACAATGACAAGAAGAGTGAACATGTGAGTAAAATCAAGTGTTAAAATAACACAGACAATATAAAATATAAAAATGAAACCGACTAATGAGGAAAAAAAAAGCTCACCTGAAGGACAAAAGCTCCACAATCACTGTCATTGTTCTGCCTGGCCACATTCTAAAATATTCCAAGGACAGAAGAGTCAACAGCACATACACAAAATGGCTTTTCCACTCTCTTTTATTTCTTATTTCTCAAATACTTTTGCTAACGCACAAAACGCGCACATCAAATTCACCTTTCACCCTACCATTTTGAAAAAGCCTTTCCACCCTGTGTAAAACTCCTTCTGTTCTCTCTTGACTGCCTCTGCTTGCAGGTATTTGGCAATGTGCTGTAAAACAAAAAGACAGGCTAAGAAATGGTTCAAGGAGCGTAGCCATTAAAATAGCCTCATTAGAACAAACAACACCTACTTTGGGGCAACGACGATTGAGGGCCCTCTGGGAATCGAAATATGTGATGCTACGCTGAGGAACATTCACACACACTAATGACCAGTGCACTTCCAGATGAATAGGGATCAATAAGAACTTCTTCTGGAAAATATCAACCTAATGGGGAGATTTAACAGTGGAATAAACAAGTGAAATAAACGCAATACTACAATGATGATGTTGTATCCACCTTACTTTTTAACATAAAAGTAAAAAAAAAAAAAAGTCGTGCAAAAAGCAGTTAATCAGCTTAAATTTACAATCCTAAAATGTGCAAGTATTGACAAAATCCAGACAAAATCCTTCCCCAGTACTGACATTTTTTGTCCACCGTTTGACCCCATCGTAACCTTTCGTCCGAAGTTTGTCATAAAAGAAGCTGTTGAAAAAGTGGACCTGTAAGTTAAAAAAAACAAGGCACGGTGAGACAGAGAGAGAGAGAGAGTGAATGAGAACTAATGAATTGTTTTCATAGTCATTTAACTGTCTGACATACAGGTTCATATAATGGCTTTGTCATGAGTCAAATGCCCTTGTGCTCGTATGGGTAAATGTGTGTGTGCGCATGTTTTTCCTACCTTTTCAGGAGCAGCATCCATGACCAAATCTCCATACATGTTCATGACCTGCGTGACGCAGTGAGTTACAGACGTAAGAGAGAGAGCCAACTCAGCACAATCCCAGAACAAGGGCCCCCCATTCATCAAATAAAAGAGTCATAACTGTGGATATCTTCTCTATACAACTCTGACAAGCTGATGTAAAAGACAGTGCCATAATAGTGACAAACGTACTGAGAGAGTTACAAATTTGATCAACTACAATGAAAGAGACTCGAAGAACAAAAATATTGGGTCTCATTCACTAATAACAACAAGTGTTGTTAAATGCGCCAAAAAGGTTCCACACACAATTTCTAGTGGATTCAAAACAGGTGGGTATGGACATAATTATTTATTACCCTTCATTTAATATGTTGATGAATCTGAAATATGCTAAATTATCAATAAATTTAAAAAAAGCACAATCCCCATATATAATGAAGTTTGCACAATGTGACGCATTCTTAAAGTCAAGTGTGCCATATTTATAGGATATATATGGTTACAAAAGATTTCTATTTTAAATGTTCTTTTGAACTTTCAGTTGATCAATGAATTTGAAAAAATGGATAACCGTTTACACAAAACTATTTTCAACATCGATAATAAGAAGAAATGTTTCTTGAGCACCAAATCAGAATATTAGAATGATTTCTGAAGGATCATGGGACACTGAAGCCTGGAGTAATGATGCTGAAAATGCAGCTTTGCCATCACAGGAATAAATTACATTTGACAATGTATTCAAACAGAAAACAGTTGTGTTAAATTGTAATATTATTTCACAATATTACTGATTGTATTGTATGTTTGATCAAATAAAAGCAGCCTTGGCGAATATGAGAGACTTTTAAAAACGTTTGAACGATAGTGTATGCCTCCTATACAGGATGGACTGTGATGTGATAAAATGAGAAAGACTTATTGTAGGGTCACAATTTGAGTTGGTTCTGAATTTTATCCAAACTATAGAAAAACGATCCAAGTGTACATATGATTAGTGAATGTGGTCCAATATTAATAATAATGTTCATTAATAATTACAAATTATTTTTAACCAAGAGACCCACCTGATCATTGAGCCAGTTCTGACCATAAAGTGTGCTCAGATCATCCATGGTGAGGACGTGACGTTTGTAGTTTACACGAAACCCCCGCATCGCTGCACTTCCGGACATGCGCTGGTAGGACTGCATTAAATGTTGCACCATTAACTTCCTGTAAGCAGGCACAAGTTAAAATGGTATACAAAATGAGACTTCACAGTCGAGTCTTTCACCAATGTGGCATTTTAAATATCAAGATTCAATAAGCCTTGTGACTGGTGTGAGCCGCCTCTGACCTTTGAGGACTTGAAAAGCTCTCGTTAAAGATCTCCCGAAGCTTCTTCACCACCTCATCCACATGGATGGGAATCAAACTCCCATACTGCTGGAGAAACTCATCCAGAATACCTGAGAAAGAGGAGGAGTGAGAGAAGAATAACCATACTACATATCCTATGTTCCTGTTCCATATTAAGGAAAAATTATATGTTGTACCTTGTACACAAGAGATGTGTTCGCTGCTAAGCTGATTCTGTGGGGAGGACTTTTCCCGTTGAGACTGGACAGTAGCAGGGGAGGCCCGTCCCTCCCTGTCCCCCATGACGGCACCATGGATACCATCCCTTCCTTTCGGAATCCCATGTGTGCTACAGGAGCCTAGGAAATCAATAGGGGTCATTAATAGCCAAGGAGGAGGATAAATGAACAGATGTCACAAGTTGGAATGCTTTGCCAGTCATTTACCGTAGCTTACCTTTGCTAAACAATAAAATAAGAAATATTAAAAGAAATCTATTAATTGTTTATTTATATTTAAAAAATGTAAATTATTTTCATTAAATTATCTTTACTAGCACAAATGGCACTATTTTAAATGATATTTTAATGCATATACAAATGTTCAAACTTTCAAATGTTCACAATTTACACTTCAAACTGAACAACTCATTTTAAAATAGTCAGGTATCACATGCTAAACAATTACAGGGATAGTTGAACCAAAAATGAAAAATCTTGTCATTAATTTCTCACCCTCATGTCGTTCCAAACCCGTAAGACCTTTGTTCATCTTCGGAACACAAATTAAGATTCTTTTTTGATGAAATCCGAGAGCTTTCTGACCCTGCATAGACCGCAACGGAACGGAAATGTTCCCAGACCCAGAAACATAGTAAGGACATCGTTAAAATGGTCCATGTGACATCAGTGGTTCAACCATAATATTACGAAGCTACTAAAATACTTTTTGTGCGCTAAGAAAACAAAAATAACAACTTTATTAAAGGGGTCCTATTATGCTCTTTTATAAAGTCTTGATTTTGTTTTGGGGGTGCACTAGAACAGGCTCTCATACTAGGTTGTTCGAAAAACATTATTTTTCACATATTTTACATTATTACAACACCTCTCTCCCCAGTCTGTCATGAACGGCTTGAATAGTTCCTGTATCAAATGAAGGCCCGCCTTCTGAAATACGAAATATGCCGTGATTGGTTAGCTGGGTCAGTGTGTGTTGTGATTGGCAGCACTCAGCGCCTGGTCGGGAAATGTCATGCCCCTTACCATAGCCGCCTGCGAGCTTCAGTGTAAATATTGCGTCAATATCAATTCAATTTGAGCGCGCTTTAAACCCGGATGATTGTAACCACTCTAAGTTCATCTGCCTTGGGAAAGCTAGCGTGTCTCCGACATAGTGATAACACTCGTTACCTTCTCTAGTGCAGCTCAACCAGGTCTCGTCCCATTCGTCGGTATTTGTGATATCACAAATCCCGGAAAATATGCATTGTAGTCCAAACGAGTCGTTCGTTGTAGTTTTTGAAAAGTGATTTATATTCAATAAAAAACCTCCTTTTGAAGTGGACTTTGAGCTTTGTAACTTTGCAGATCTTTTTTATGCTCAAACAGCAACATTACAGACTAACTAAAGTTGAAAAAGTGAAAAAGCATAATAGGACCACTTTAAACAATTCTTTGCTTTCGTGTCACCTTCCACTGCCATTATCAAGAGTAGCACGACGCATGTTGAATAAAGTTATTTTTGTTTTGTTTGTGCACAAAGTATTCTTGTAGCTTTGTAAAATTACGGTTGAACCACTGATGTCACATGCACTATTTTAGCGAAGTCCGGACTATTTTAACGCGTCAGTTGTGTTGCTTTCTATGCAGGGTCAGAAAGCTCTTGGATTTCATCAAAAATATCTTAATTTGTGTTTCGAAGGTGAACGAAGATGTTACAGTTTTGGAACGACATGAGGGTGAGTAATTAATGACATTTTTGGGTGAACTAACCCTTTAATCTGATCAGCTCTTTTAAAAAAGTTGCAAAGACTAACTTGTTTTCCAAAATTATACCACAAATGTCAATAAGAGAGTTCATACTCACCAGATAAATCAGCTCCTCTTTCTTCTGTTGTCCCCAAACGTCCTTCTGGGTCTCCATTTAACAATGAACTGCCAGACGGTCTCTGGAAAGGTCGACTGCCAGAGTGGCGGCGTCTGTGACATCTGCGTACCCTCCTGTATCCCATAGTTCCTGCCCATTTGGCTCGCTGACGCCAAGTTCTCCACTGCTGGGCCAAACGGTAGCGAATGCTCAAACACTTCTGGCCCCGATACCGCAACCGGGCTAGCTTCCTCTCTTGGAGCGGACTGGGGCTAGTCTGGGTCAAGTAGAGGGTAAAGTCATCTGTAACACTGACATCCATTTCCACTAGCTTTGAGTGCTCTGGCGAGCCCCACTCCTCATCGTCACCTTTATCATTACACTGCAAACCACCCTCGACTTTCCCGTCCACCAGATCCTCTTCACTCTCCATCTCCACATTTTCCTCCTCGTCCTTCACCTCAGGGACAGTATAGTCTGCACCCCACATTCTGATGTCCTCCTCTCTGCGCCCCAGTTTGAAGTGGGCTGGGCTCGGGGCATGTTGGGCCATGGCTGGATTCATTAAATGGCCACCTCCAATGGCACCCCCACCCCCAGCGCCCTCCTGCCCTGCGGTCAGCGTCAGCTCATTGGACCAGTGTGTTTGAGCCAGGCTGCTGCCACTGTCTCTCATGATCCAGGAGCACCCTGCGACCTGCGCCAGCCTGCCTCCTCGCTAATGCGTGACAGAAAACATGACAGTTGTCAGAGCAAAGAACCAACAGAATGCTAAATGCAAAAAATGTAGAACGCAAGCACATGCAGTGACCTGAAACGTGAATAAAACTCTAGTTGTCATTTGAGATACGAACATTAGCAAGATCAGCAAGATTATTTTTTGTGCATTTTAACTTGTTTCTTTCAGGTCTTTTCAGGCAACAGTCCACTTGACCAAACTAACAACCAGAGAATAACAAAAGTGTAAAAAAAAAAACACCAAGCTAGTTAAAAAACAGACTTTTATATGAAAAGGGTCTAGAGTCTCAATGTGTTTAGTATATGTGTCACTAATAAGGTTCTTTTTGACCTAGTAGCAATTTTTAAAGGACTAGTTCAATCAAAAATTTAAATTCTGTCATCATTCACTAACCTGCAAGTTATTTCAAACCTGTATGAGTTTATTTCTTTGTTGCTTTATTCAGTGGCTACCGTCAAGTGTTTGATTTCCAACATTTTTCAAAAGATCTTCTTTTTTGCTCAGCAGAGAAACTCGCACAGGTTTGGAACAACAGGTTTTTAAGAAGCACAGATGTTGATCAAGTAGCACGGATTATTTGTTCACTTCAAGACTAGTAATGTGTTGTAACAAAGTAAATAAGCTCAATTTCGATTTAATGTGAACTTTAAAAATAAACAAAAAAATGTCATATATTTTAATAATACTACTAAAAAACGAAGAAATAGTTCTAATTTTGTATTTCAATTAGGCCTTCCTTGAGAATATGTTTCATTGTAGGGCAGTTATTAGAGGATGGCCTTGGAGATTAAAGTAGAAAAATTCATAACTATATAACTAATGAGGTGTTATAATATGTCACAATACATCACAATCCAAAAATATGTATTGTAGATAGTGATAATACGTACGGTGTATAATTGACCCAAAATGACGCAGAAGGTCACACATTTGTTATTATAGTGCACTGTATATATCATTATTAATACATTAAAACTAAAATAGATTAAAATGTTTAAATGTATGTATTCAGGGTCAGAGTGCAGCGTTTTAACATAATTCTGTACTTTTATCTAAGCAGAACCATGAATACTTCTACTCTGGTGTCACAATTGCTCTGTGCATGGAGAAATTTTAATAAACAACACTTTTTATTAACTGTTCATCATGTCTTAATTAATAATAATAATAATAATAAATACGCGTTTTACTATTTTGCCCTAGTTTAAAGTATCATGAGAGTATGTATTGTGTATCAAATCGTCACATGAGTGTATTGTTTAGCCCTATAATGAAGAGTTAAGTTTCTGATGTAGCCATCCCAGTAATTTGTTATTGACAGTAATACCGAGAAATGTTAGGACAATGTATTCATTTAAAGGTTTATGTAAAATCACTTTACCTTTTTATTTAATGTTATTTAAAGCGAAACTAGCACATGTACGTGGCTGTATTTTGTCCATGCAGTTGTCAATGTTCACGCAAGAAGAGAGTCAACGCCGCAGCAGAGCTGGATGCGCTTTGTTCCGCTCTTTCAAATCAAGCACCGATCACAAATAAACACTGCTTGGCCTCCGGTGTCGAGATGCAGAAAATGTGGGGTGTCGGCACCACCGATTACTCACCGTTTAACCGTAACCTCAAGCCAAAAGCTTTGGCGTTGTCTGCCAACTCAAAAAGCGGATAACTAAGTTTTGCGAGGATATAAAATGAAAGATAAAATAAAGGCTGATTTAAATCTTGGCTCATTCAATGAGAGCTGGCGCTTCTTTTGGGCGAAAACACTCTTCTTCCGCCGCGTCTATATGACGTCACGTCGGTGTACGCACGCGGTGGACAGGAACGTGAACTACATTTGAAAATAATTTATAATACGACATGACCCAATAATGTTATTTTAAATGTTTCCTGAAGCTATTAAACACGTATTTAAATAATTGTAGTCATCCACACCCCCTTCAAACCACTCAAATGCACCACGCATAACTAAAAAGTAAATGAAATATTACCAGTCACAAGTCATTCTTGAGAAGTGGGACAAAACGGTGCAAAATTGAAAAAATAAAATCTTGTACTCAGACAAATGAAACTACAATTATGTATCTTATATGTACTAAGCTACTGAGCTATGCTTTGATACAACCTCCCAACTTTTCTCTTTTTTAACAAAATGTGCTTTTTTACCTTGGACTGTGTAATGTAATTTCAACGTTATCTTTAACAGCATTCAAGATGTTTTTAACATTTCAAAACACATTCTCGTGTTAGCAGACAGATTACACTTTCACATGTGACCAACAATTCCACAACAAATATAAAATATCATAATGAAATATTATCAAAATATTCATCTGACGGAGGTGACGGAAACCTGAATTTGTAGGCAGAGCCTGTCTGACACTGCTGTACTCTGCAGAGGTGAACTGTGGCCAGGGACTCCTTTAGAGTGACAGCTGCCCCTGATATTCCCTGGTTTTATTACATTTTATTGAATGTCTGACGGTGTTGACAAAAAGTGGGGACGCAACTTTAAAATCTTATTAAACATGCATGTGTCATTAAAAAACAACCTTGCTTTGATAGGAGATATTATTAAGTGTTGCTTTTGACAAAACAAGCTCTTTTTCATCATTAAAAAAAAACATTTTTATCAATTGTATTGCATATGAATGATTGAACCCTTCTCTGTGGACACACTGTTTTAGACGTAGTGAGAGGACATTAAGAAACATAGATTTGGTATAATAATGAGAAAATTAAATTGAAGGTGATAATTGTGTTAAATACATTCTATTATTAATCCATCATGACATTTAAAATTGAAAATGTTATTTTTAAACCTAATAGCAGGTGCTGGACCTGTTTTGTCCCATGTCTCAAGAATTGTGATATATTAAATGACAAGTGTAATATTATGTTCTTGACTGATAAATAGTACAACATTAGAGCACCACAGTTCTAAAAAACGTAACTCTCCACTGTGAATGTCTTCGAAAATGATGTAAAAATTTTCATCTCAGATGACATATCCTCTACTTCAGAGGATAGATTTTTTAAATCACATCAATGTTTATTCAGGTTGTTACTTTCAAACCTTCTGAAAGTCTGGAGGCTAGTGAGGATTCTGTGTGAATCCTACAATTATGTAGGCTACCCCTAAATTGGTGAATTATCAGTCAGCTCTCTATTGGCAGATAACTGCTGAAAATTGCAGTATGCCATTCTGGCACAATGGCAGCAGAAAAAGCCTTACTCATGCACTTCAGTTTGTGAACTGAGATCAGAAATGAATATTCCTAATCAGCAATGATAATCTATATGTATACCTTTCAAAAATACTCTATGAAAAGCATGATAAGGCAAATGTCGAGATGTTCATGACAACTTCTTTTCATAGACGTTCAGTAAAAAAAAAAAAGAATGGATGGATAGTGTAATTACTCTGAACTTTGTTGTCATAAAATTGTTTTAGAGGTGTGGTCACAGAAACATTTTCTTTCTTCTAGAGAGCAAGGAGATTTCAGTAGGAAATGGATTATTTAATATTCTTACAAAAGAGAAAATCAACACTAAAATATTGTTTATCTATAGCCAGACTGGGTTACAGCTATTTTGTAAAATGCTTTTATAGTGATTTTACTGATGTTAGAACAAAACAGAAAGTACATACAAGTGGTAAAGGTAGTGATACTACACATGAATATTCCAGAAAAAAATTAAACAAGAACCACAATCTTTCTCCCACTCCCTACTAGCCAAACACACTGCAACGCTGTCCTGAGTCACCGGTCTGCTCAAAGAACATGAAGTCCTGCAGGACAACACAGAGAAACAATAAAATGAAATATATAAATGGCCATATAAAGAAAGTAACAGGAAAAAGCAAAACTGGTGGATGAATTAATGTTTTTGTGTCATATCTCACTATAAGGAAACATGCTCCCAGCAGAACTGCTTTCATCCTCACATCCAAGTCCATGGGAAAGTTAATGCCAAAATTATCAGTATCAGTCAGTGTCTCTTTGATGAAGCCAGTCCACTGTTTACTGATGCGACCAACAGAATGCCCATCCTTACTGGTAATCTGCACCAGAGGACAGAAAAATAAAACACAAACTATTTTCTTTTGGTCTGGAAAACACAGTGTGAATATCCTTATACCCTGATATGTTTAAATATCTCAAAAACGATTGCAGTCACACACACACACGTGGCAAATGGACACAATAACAGATAAATACATACATCAAAATCCACATCCCCACAGCAGCTGATGGCACACAAAGGTCCTTCGATGGACAGCACCTTTGTTTTGGACATGTCATAGATAGAGAACTTGGGCTTAAATATGTGCCAGTCTTGCTTGATGTAACCAATTGTATTCCCTGGTGGAGCCTGTACCTCCATCTTCAGTCAATGTCCCATTCCGACAGGAAAAAGAATTGGAGAATGGGTTATGTAAATACATATATAATATTTATTGTAAATTTAGCAATTTCAGAAAATCGTGTTGAAATGTTTTTTTTCCTCTGTCTCTCCAAAGGTCAGAAAAGCTGCATTCTGAGTTGTTACCTCTTGAAGACAGCAGGGGAAACAGCAGGATGTGCAGCGGTAAGGCCTGATTAAGTGAATCACTTCCTGATCAAAATTATCTTTTATCTGCAGCTCAAAACTCCTCAGAGGGCCACAGATATTTCGTGTGCAGCAGTCGGTGTTTTCTTTAGCATGGAAGATCTTTTGACCCATGCTGTTCTTAATCTCATACTGGTTATTAGTCTCAAAGCCAATAATGGCTGGAAAAGAAGATCATTTGTTCATTAGCATTTGACTTATAATTTAGTGTGTCCAACAAAAAGACAAAAGGGTAAAGATTTAAAGTTATATATGACAAAAGTGTTTAATAACTTCAGAAACTTTACCTTCAAGGAGCTCAATCTTTTGATGGACTAATATCTGGTCAATCTGTAAGAGCAGACCAGAAAGCAGATATATTCCATTGTACATTTTCCTATTATAACATACCAATTATTGTGTACACCTTTGAGGGATTGTTCAACCAATAATGGAAACTCTATCGTTGTTTACTAAACCTGTATGAATTTCTGGTCACACTTTAATTTAGGGACCAGTTCTCACTATTAACCAACTATTAACTATGACTTTTGCCTCAATAAACAACTAATTTGTTGCTTATTAATAGTTAGTAAGGTAGTTGTTAAGTTTAGGTATTGGGTAGGCTTAAGAGATGTAGAATATGGTCATCCAGAATAAGGCATTAATATGTGTATCATTAGTACTAATAAACAGCCAACATGTTAGTGATATGCATGCTAATAAGCATCTAGTTAATAGTGAGAATTTGTCTCTAAACTGTTTTTTTTTTTCAAACTATAGAAGTGGGTTACCCACAGAAGAAAGAAACAGTTCAGAACAAACGGCGAGTAAATGATTTTTTTTTGTTTGAACTGTGCCTTTTTGACATATTATATTACTTACTTATTGTGACAATTGGCATATGTAATTGTACTACTCTTACCATCTTATTTACATGAAATAATTCATTTTTCATGACACACTCACCTGTGTAAGGTACTCCAAAGCAGGTGGGACAGCCGCTGGGTTAGAATAAAGCTGGGACATGTTGAACTAAATAAACAGCAAACGGGTTTCTAATAGAGAGAAAACAACGAATTCATTATTCCATACACTTCACAAATAAAACAAACCATTGTGCCATTAACTGGTGTAAAATGACAGGAAATAATTGATATTTATTTTTTGTCATATAGGTCCACAACACACTTAAATGGTTAAGGAAAAATCACCTCGATCTCTTTTTAAGAGACACTAATCCACTGAATATAAAGTGTTTGAGGCCATTTCTATTGTAATAAATGTTTAGCTACTTTAAAGTACAGAATATGCTGACAAAATATCCTGCCTATGAAAATGCATAACAAATAGCATTTTCCTTTAAAAAAAATTTGCATTAACTTGCAAATTTGTAACCTGAGACCATTAAGCAAACTACAGAAGTAAAAATGACATTCAAAAATGAGATGATGCTTGAATTGGCAAAACTAAATCCAATTTCTATATTGTATATGCGCTTACCTCACGTTAAGTAGCTGATTGTTGAAATAATGGCAAGCACAGTGTTACAGCCGATCAAGTGAAGAGTCATGCACCTGTACTACAGCATGTGACTGGGGGAAAGTGTGCATATGTGAATGTCTTGTCACACCCCTTTGCCCACACTCCCTTTGGATTTTACTCACGGAAAGAGCAGTGACGTCAGCAAACAAAACAGTGCAAATGAAAAGCGGCTTGACTTTTAAAGAACATTTATTTTTTAGAATTCACTGCTGTAAATGGTCAGAAAAATATAGCATTTCGTCATCTTTCAAACATATACACCTGTACATACATGTACTATTTACACTGGGATGCAGGACACATGAACAAAATAAGAGAAATCTGTTTTCAGTCTTAAAATCAAAAACTCGATTCTACCATTGTTTTTGACAGAATACACAAATAACACAAATCAAGCCGTAAAACTTTCTAAATACGCTGACGATATCTGCTTTACAATGGTCAAAGGTTAATCTGAGAACATCCTGTAACAATAAAAGTGAGGATATTCATCACAAGGCTGAAAACGTTACTTAGAAAAAACAATTACATTGATTTGAACAGCGTTTGAGAGTTGTAAAGATCTGAGCTGGAGGTGTTCCTTATCTACCACTCCTATTTGCACTTATTAAGTCTTTCATACAGTGCTCCATGACCCAAATAAGGTGTGTTGGTTTAGTGCGACACCTGTGCTTAACAAAATCTTAATTGTCCTAAAATACGGTCAATTTGCCTTGACTGGTTTTGTGAGATTCATCCATCTTGACGTATATTAATGCAAATAAGTGCATGAGTTTTAGTATGCCTTATACCTGAAAAACCAAGAGCAGCCTTTCAAAACAGAACGAAGGAGAACAAATGGAGTCATATAAATCAACTTTTTTAATTTAACAGAAACTAATTAAGAGTAATCAGAATGGTAAACAGCACAGGTATGAGAACGTCTCATTCATTTAAATATACACACAGGATCTGCTCCCATACATTCATTCTCGGTGGTCTCTTTTAACCGTGGACCCACGAGAGTCCCTGCATCTGTAGCAGTAGAAAATATCAGGTACATTGGACTTCTTAATCTTAGCGCAGGAGAGATGGACCCATATGGAGCACTCGTCACATTCAATCATGGGACGTCCGGCAAAAGGCTTCCCGCAATAACACGTAATCAAATCCCATGAATCATCACCTATAACGGATAGAACAAATAAAGGATGGTTGAAAGATAAATAATGATCAGATGTTTTCTTCAGTTTACATTTATGACAGAAATGTTATTCTAGCTATATACATTAAATACACTACTAGCACGCCAAGTCTAATCAAGACACTTACCAGATTCTACCATAATATCCTCATCAGTCACCAATGTGTCCGTTTCGCAAGAGCTCAGGTCTGTTTCTTGATTGGACTCCAGTTTAAGCCCCGCCTCATGCATGTGTATGGCCTGTTCTGTTAGCTCCTCCTCCTTTTGAAGCCCCTCGTTCAAAGGGCTTGTGGATGGAAAGTGTCTCTCAGCCTTTACCGATCTCTTTATTTTCTTTAGTGCTGCTTTCGATTGTTTGTGCGCTCTTGCCTCCGAGATGCTTTTTCTCGGCCCTCCTAAAGAGAAGCGTCCGAGTTTCTTCACCTTCTTCCGCTCAGCTTTACTATGCAGATGCATCTGGTTCAATCTCATCTTGTCTAAGGAGCTCTCCGACTGAAGATGGCTGAACTCTGTGCTGCTCCTGTCGGTCTCAGCTTTGTGGACCAAACTGTGAATGTTGTCGAGGCTGGAGTGTGCATCCGTCCAGCTATCCTTTACGGACCCTTCGCCCGAGAGCTCAGAAAGCTCGTGTGCACATGGAGATGAAGATGGAGACCATGAACTCTCCTGGAAACACACATCACCACAATTTGCCCTATTTATCTGCATACGATTTTGCATTGCATGGTGGAAAATAAGCTTATAAAACAGCCGTGGCTTAATATTTTTCAACAAACCATATTGGACCTGATCAATATTTCTCATTAATGAGTGAATGAATATATTGAATGATGCTGTTATTACTATATTTTTAATAAGTTTAGCCCTTTTGATTAATTCAATATATAAATAATTCAAATTTTACATGAACTACAGAAGAAAAAAACCCCACTGTGATAGGGGATTTAAATAAGCATAAAAAATGTTATTGGAATGTATCACTATATAATTTATAACAATCAGAGAATTGCCAGTATCATCTCTACTGAAATCAATGGATTTAAATAGATTGCTCTGAATTCATGACTGCTCAAAAACAGTCTAAATCTACAACAAAGACATTCATTTACAACAAAACATCAAATGCATTAATTTTAGTCACATGAACTGTCACTGTCCGATGAAAAGGATGATACATTTTTTTAAGTCCCAAAAGTGTTTGTGATATGGTAAACAGGCTCAATATGTTTTACAAAAGTATTTTTAATCCTCAGTTGATATCTGAATTAAAAAGTTGAAGTTTTTAAATGGTTATATCTAAAAAACGATTTAAACTTTTTGTTTAAAATTGTGTCTGTTTTGACAGATTTCCAAAGTTTGGTTTCCACACAAAAAAATAAAGCATTTATTTAAATAAATGTTTATGTATCTCCTCTGGGTCAAAACTGACCAGAATGCAATTAGGGTTAAGTATTTTAACACACACACACACACACACACACACACACACAATCTACAGTCAGCAGCAGGTGATTATCATGAAGATGGTCAAAGCTGCCACTTAATTGCTGTACAAAAAGACTATAATTTATGACATTCAACTCACTTCTTTCTGAGGTGGAATGTACCCAGCATAGGCCAGGACAAAGCTGCAAAACTTATTGAAATCCTCTACGGTCCTCTTCCTACGCTCTGGAGGCTGGAACAAAGAAAATGTACATTAATAGTGACCAATCATAGTGATTCACAGTATGTTTACAGTGATATCTAAAGCTATAACATCAGTCTGTCACCAATCTGACACTATTGTCAAAATGAAAATATTTTTGCCAATTACTACAGGCTAATACTGATCTCATCCACAGCCCATCCCCCCCATGTTCGGCCACATGTGGCCTAAGCTATAAATAAGTAACGAGGCTGTGTCACCATTTAAAACTATTACAGATTATAACTGCGACAGCACTTACCAAAGCCTCCGTTTTACAATTCCGGACGGTGTCTGTAAAAGAAACAGAAGAAATCGCCATTACTGGCCAAACCTGTTACTGTTAAATGCTGAAACTACAACCTTAAATGAACTGTCAAGTTAGCTTTAGCCTGGGCTATTTGGATACTGTTAAAGTAACTTAAAAATAATTTCCTTACGTGATTATTGGAATGCTACAAACGTACGAAATCGAATTCTAAACATTAAACTTTGTTGCAAATGTTCCGTGAACTCAGTTGCTCGAGTAAACATCCGAACAGAAGCTGCTTATGCTAAAAGCTAATGAGTAGATGCAACCTTGTCAAGTCAGCAAAACAAGGAGGCAAATTGGCATCAGAACTATTCAAGTAAGTTATGCTTAGAAAATGATATGTTATGTATCTGCAGGTAGTAGAGAGGCCATGTTAGGTGTACTTAACCTAAGAGGATATCTCACTGCTAGCATGAGTAGTTAATCCAGTCAGGAGCGCTTTGTTAAATGGATGTTTCACGAGGCTCGTTTAAAACTTCGAGTATCGGTGTGCCCCTAAAATAAAATGAAAAGAGAATACGTGTATGACAACAAAACAGCACATATTTACCTTGGTGATGATCCACAATACCCAACATGGTGGGGTAACGTTACGTTAGTACCACAAAGTTGGGTGGTTCTTGGTGTTGGCTGTTTGATTTCCTGCTAATGATCTTGAGTCACTTTGAGGAAAAGCGAAATTTCTTCCAGTTGAAAATATATGCGAGTCCGGGTGCTTTTGAATTTAACAGATAACTAATAAGCTACCGCACAACCGAAGGGAGGTAACGTTATGCCATATGCTCAGAGTAGTTTAGTCATCAAAACTGTAATACTAAGCAAACGACCAGATTTTTCGACGATTAGATCATGGTCCAGCTAAAATTAAACTGGACCGTGTATTATTTCGTCCAGACCTCAATTATCGATGATGATGGTGGTGGTCTCGTCTTCGATCCTCGTTGATCACCAGCGAATTTAAGCTGATGGCTTTAGATCTAACGTACAAAACTGCTGACACCTTGATTGTATCCACAAACGCGAGGCAAAGATGAAAAATAGCAAGTTAGCTAGCAGTTTTCGAATATCGAAAAATCTAAATCGAGCTTTTTGCAACTGCATTCAACAAAGTCTTGAACGTCTGGGCTACGCGCGGTCTCGACAGGAATCACCCTGTGACGCAACCACGCAAAGAGCGCCACTTTTCTGCGTGATGCATATTGATATGAACGTAATGAATATGCATGACAGATTGTCAAACATAATCCAAAATCTGACAAAATAGACAACGCAGTTTTTATTCGTATTCATTGGTGGAATACACTGTGCCCAGACTTGGTAAATGTCAACCGTTACGATGCGAGGCTGGCTTCTTGCAGTAACGTCCTTGTGTTCGTACGATGAACACAGGAAATGGGGAAACTGTGGTTCGATGGGCGCCATGTTGGATCAGATGCGCTATGCATTTCCACGCATAATCTCCTCTGGGGGAGCCATAATGGCGCACTTTGTTTTTGCACTGTGTACACGGATTTCCTTAATCCTGGCAGGTCAGCTGACCAATGTCGTGACAGTTTTTTTCCTCGCTCCACTGCTTGGTAGGGTATTCCGAGGATTGTCGTTCAGTTCATGCTAATACAGTAAGATTCATCGTTTGCTTTTTTTTATACAATTATATTTTGATTGCTATCAAACCGGGCAGTTTGCTCCTATCTCATTTTCTAACCTTACGCAGGTGAAATCTCCTCAGTTGCTGATCAGGTTTTGCTAGTAGCCATCTGTCACCTGACATCTAACAGTTAGTGGTTCCTTACGACAGCCTGCTAGATCTCGTAATTCAGTAGTTTTGGTCGTGTGAAGGCGTTTATTTATATATTTCTTTATTTTATCTGTGGTGCGTTAAGTACAGCAGTTAAATTCATATCATTTTCATTTGATACTCAGCAGGAATAGTTTGAATCTGAATGGATACCTGTCGGCCATAGTGGTTCTATTAGTATGAAAGTCTTTAAATTTGTCATCAGTAATTGAAATATTTACCATAACAGTAAGATTGAAACTCACATTTGCTTTCAAGTATATTGATTAGAACTTGAACAAAACAGTAGACCTTGAGGTTCTATTGAAATTGTGAAAATTGAAACGTCTTGTAATGTTGATAAGGTTTGGCATGTCTTGAAACACTGAAAGATATTGGTGCAATTTGAATGAATGAACTGTTTCACACTTCGTCTTTCAGGATTGCTAACACAGAGAATGGATTTTTCCAAGCTGCCTAAGATCCGAGATGAGGACCGTGAGGGTCAGTTCGGATATGTGCATGGAGTTTCAGGCCCAGGTAAAAATAAAAACATGTTCTAAAGTCACTTTGTTACAAAATTGAACATACAGCACAACATTCCTCCCATAAGCAGTTTATTTTGACTGACAGATGTGGGTCATGAGATGGACAGGTTACAGTCTGTGTGTCTGTTCATTGCAGTGGTGACGGCCTCTAGCATGGCAGGTGCGGCTATGTATGAACTGGTGCGTGTGGGCCACAGTGAGCTGGTGGGAGAAATTATCCGATTGGAGGGAGATATGGCAACCATCCAGGTGTACGAGGAGACCTGTATCCTTTACCATTCAAGAGTGGTTTACTTAAAGGGTTAGTTCATCCAAAAATGAAAATTAGGCTGCGTTTTACTCACCCCCGAGGCATCCTAGGTGTATATGACTTTCTTCTTTCATGACATTCTTCTTTACAAATCCTCGTTTTGTACTTCTAATACGTGAAAGTTGTTTTGTTTCGATCTCTCCGCGTGCGTCACTTCTGAGCAGCGCATGCGCAAAGCTGACCTCATACGTAATTCCCCCGGAACTGCTTCCATGTACAACTGTTGGCGCAAGCTAGATTCAAGTGAATATTACGTTTTGAATATGGATATTTTTCTTACATAAACGCATCGATTCGCTACAGGAGGCCTCTGTTCACCCCCTGGAGCCGTGTGAGACACACCTAGGATGCATCGGGGGTGAGTAAAACACAGCCTAATTATCATTTTTGGATGAACTAACCCTTTAAGGCTGGAATACACACACTACCCAATTTTTGCCACGATTTTCCCCTGATTTACAGTCCGAACAAGTTGATGCTAGTTGCTGAAAGTCTGAGGCAGTCTGCAGATTTGAGTTGACAAAGTGGAAAACTGTATGATGCCTAGCATTTTAAAATTTGTTCGGATTTTAAAAGTTGTGTACTGTAGTGTATTCCAGCCCTTACTCAGTCTACAATACTTGAAAAGGTTTTAATAAAGTTAATCCAAATTTTTAATCCAAAAGTAAAAAAAAAAAATTCAGGAAAATGGCTCTTCAAAACCTTATTTACTTTTTATTTTTCATGGTTCATCATGGTGTTGCCAAAGTATATTTTTGTGTTGTATTAGTATATGTCTATGTTTTCCTGAGCTATCCACAGCTGGAGTTTGTGTTGGAGACCCCGTGCTCCGCACTGGAAAGCCACTCTCTGTGGAACTGGGGCCCGGAATCATGGGCTCCATCTTTGATGGTATTCAGCGTCCCCTCAAAGACATCAATGACCTCACAAAGAGCATCTACATCCCCAGAGGGGTTAACATAGGAGCTCTTAACAGGGACCTCAAGTGGGAGTTCTCTCCTTTTCAGAACCTGAGGGTAAGAATTATGTGTGTGTCTTTCTCTGTATACAGTGACGTCATGCACCTAGTTTTTTGGATTTGCCACCATGGACAGTTCTGACACTTTTTCCTAGGACTGTGAGTCATGATAGTCTAGTGGTGTAATATAGCAGTATGCATGGGGCCGAGTTCAAATTCTGATATAATATGCAGTTTTATAATAAACCAAGCAAAATTGCAGATGAACTCAACGGCCAGTAATCACCCTGTATTTTCCTGTATGGAAAGCAGTAGAATTTACCTCTTGATATAGTTTGTGTTTCATGGGAAAAAGACTACCCCAAATAAAACTAGCTTTTATTTAGGGCTGGGCGATAATTCGATAACGATAATTATCGCGATGTAATTTTCCTCGATAAAACAATATGAAGAGTTCAATAAATGTTCGATATAACATTTATGCGCCAAAAGCGGAACGAAACAGCGCGACTCATTTGAATCGTGCCACACAGACCATTTATCCACTCGGACCAATGTTCAAAACGGCCGCGCGGCGCGAGCTCACTAGAGCAGATGCGTTTTTACTTTCTCACGCGATCTCTAAGCAGCGCTGTGAGATCCAGTGTGAAGCTATGGGATCATATTCCTACCAAATGTATTGCAGTCACGGATAAAAAACAACAAGCGTGAAACCAAAATTTTAAAACGCAAGTAAAATTATATTGCACAAAATTAAAAAATGAAAGCAAAGTTTTCAGAATAGCAAACAATGGTCACGGATCAAAAAATAATAAGTGTAAACCAAAAATGTAATAACGCATTAAAAAAAATAATAAGCACGAATCAAAACTTTAAACACATTTAAAATCATATTGCACAACACTGAAATATTAATTCAAAATTATCCGAATTGCACACAAAATCATGTTGTCCTTGGTTATATTTCTGTTTTTTGTGCTCTCAGACATTTTCTGCACATATTTTTATTTTTTGTATGCTTATGCTGTTTTTCCCTTCGCTCTAAACTTAAAAACTGAACCTCCTGCTGGGCTCACATACCTCTCATTTCCATGAGTGAATCGTTAGACGCGGTGTAACATTTGGTTGATAAACTATTAGACTATTTATTTTTGTAAAGAAGGCTTTGTACTTCTCTCGTATCTGAATATCTACTTAAACAACATCCTTCACATATGAAAAAAAATTTGTTTGGAAAACACCACGGCATGGCGATGCTCGCGCTGACCAGCAAAACCTACATATTGTACAAAAGACAAGCTAAATTGAGTCACCAATACCTTTTGTATGTTTAGTTGTCTCATTTACTTTGATGAGGAAGAGGCTGCGATGTAAAGTTTGCAATGCTAGAACTGATTATGTTGTGTAGGCGCGGGAGGCACCGGCGCGAACACTTGGGTTACTCACATCAGCGGAAAGATGTGATATCCGTCAGATAGGAGCAAGACATCATACAAAACGATACATTTTTTATCTGTGTACCTTCAAAATAACAGTGAAAAGTTGTACTTTTGTAAAATAAAGAAAACATACAAAATGCACTTGCCGTCTCTGTGAACCTCTTCCTGAAATGAAGAAAAACTCTGTCTAACGTTATACTTGTCACACAGAATGAGAAATATATTTATAGAAACCTTGAAGTGCCCGCTTTTACCTGTTTATGTTTTGCTTATTTGACATTAAATGCATTATATAAGTCACTTTGGAATATAAATCATAGCACGTTCAGAAGATAAAAAATGCAACGTGTAGTCCGGAAAATACCGAATAGCAAAACATTTTGCGGGACCCCCTGGCTTTGGGTCACGACATGGACCCCAGTTTGAAAACCCCTGCTCTTACTCATATTATCCTCTCCTAACAGTAATAACCATAACAAGACTTATAATCAGTCAGGTAAAGGCGAGCCAGGCACATCAGTCACTTCGCGAGGCCGGTGCATTTAGTGGCTGATCCCTTTCGCGATGTGACTGGAGGCGAATAAATACAGGTAATTATAACCGTGACAGGTCGCTAGGGCGGCTCATTTAATGTTAACGGATCGCCAGGTAGGTGTACAGCAGTGACAGACAGACACATATAACGGTGTCCTGTATGGAAAGATGTTTCCCAGCTGACAGTTGTCCATTTTCACCTGTACAAGTGAACAGAACACTGAGCATTGGCAGTAATGAGGCGCGTTGGAGTGACGTCACCGCCCCTCTTCGACTGACTGGCTAGAGGAGGAGCTGTCAATCTGGTATCTACAATAATTGTAGAACTTATCATATGTAAAGAAATCATTATCATATGTAAAGAAAATGTATTTTAGTCTTTTTGGAAATAGCATATAAAATCTTTTTGGGTCAATTTGGGTCATAAATCTTAGTTGCCACATGCCCCCTCGATTTGAATGTGTATGACTTTTGTGAATGTGTACTTTTGTGTGTATATATATATACAGTATTTGTACACTATATTGAAATTATGCACTGGATGTTTTTTCAGGTTGGAAGTCACATTACAGGAGGTGATATCTATGGATTGGTGTATGAGAACTCTCTCATCAAACACAAGATCATGCTGCCCCCTCGCAGCAGGGGAACAATCACCTACCTCGCTCCGCCAGGAAATTATGACGTCTCTGTGAGTCAAGTTCACAATCATCC